TATAATGAATTAAAATCATATGATAACAAATCCCAGTTTGCAAAATCAAACAGCATAACGGGTTGTTTTTATACAGGTGAAATACCGTGCTCTTACGTTAAAAATAAGGTTGATAGCTGAATATTATTGCAATAAGGAGATTAGTTTGACACACTCATGTCTGACTGATAACAATACTTCCTGATTCTAACATTGAAACATACATTTTCTGTGAAGCTGCTATACAAATCAAGTAAAAAAAAAATGAACAGATGTAGATTTGTATATTTTGTTTCTGTATCTGTTTCCGTCAAACACACACATCAAGAAAATAAATCACAACTGCATCACCATCAATTCAACTCATTTCTATGTTTCAAGACTAAACTTTAAGGGTTACAACTACAATTAATTTACTCTTATACTTGAGCCGTGGCTATCAAAAAAGAAATGCATCATTGAAGTAGTTCACTCTTGCACTATATTTCATATTGATTTCATAAGCTATTTGACGTTTGCTTTTTCTTTTTCTTTGACAGACAGCTAGGCACCAGGCCATTTTTTTTGAGGAACAGATTAAACTTATTTACTGTTAATCATCCTCTTCACCATAAAACACATTCAAAATCTGCAGTGTCAAGTTACGACAGGTTTGACTGTGGCATCAGTGATGCCATTGTTTGTCATGTGAAAGATTGCAACACATCAGTTTCTTTCAAAATCAAAAATTCTGGAGAAAAAAAACCACATCTTCCAAAAATATCAGGCAGCACAACTGTTTTCAACATTAATAAAATCACAAATGTTTCTTGAGCAGCAAATCAGCATATTAGAATGATTTCTGGAGGATCTTGTGACACTGAAGACTGGAGTAATGATGCTGAAAATTCAGCTTTGATCACAGGAATAAATTACATTTTACAACTATACTATATTAAAATGTAAATATTATAAAACGTATTGCAGTTTTGGAAAACTGTCTCACATCAGTCAGACATGAAGGCTGCAGAGATTTATATGATGTAAAGCGAGAATGTGATAGAAGTCACCACGAGATGCTCTCTTCTGTCAGCGGACTGCAATTGCTGTCATTTCAGATCCTGAAGGACCTCCAGGTGTGTGTGTGTGTGTGTGTGTGTGAGTGTGAGTCCTTTCTTCACCATCATCACAGCAGCAGGAACACAGTAAGTGAATCTGAATACAGGATCTCTGTTGTGAACTTGTTCTGCTGCACTTCAAATGTCTAAATATGCCATCACAAACACGACTGGTGAAAACTCCAGCGTTTATGTGTGTGTTTCCTTTACCCCTCTGATCTCACGTGAATAACCACACATGCACATGCATACTGCCAATAATGCGTGCCGCTATGAGAATGTGCAATAAAAAAAGTGTTGCATGTAAAGAGCTCAGGGCTTTTACAACATGAGTAATTTCCAGAGAAGGTTATGTTGTAATGCAATGCCAGCAGGCAAAAGCAACTGTAACCTTAAATCTCAGGCGGCACTGCATGCCTTGGCACATTCAAACACTGCGTCGTCTTTGAAAACATCTATAGCTCAGATATTATCATTATGAATGACTTTAGCCTCTTAAAATCAAGCTTCTTTATTGGCATCTGGCTCCATGAAGAACCTTTAACATCCATGGAATCTTTCCATTCCACAAAAGGTTCTTAGACTTTTAAAATGTTCTTCATATCAAGGAAAAATTATTTGAAGAACTGTTCCCTGAAAAGTTCTTTGGGGAACAAATAATGGTTCTTCTAGAGATTATAATGCAAAGATGTTGCACTGCAATAACAATAACAGGCACTCATTAATCTTTATATAATATGGAAGCCTGATTCTGACAGAATAAAAAATCATGTAGTTGTGACTTTTTATCTAACAATTAGGACTTTGTTTCTTGCAAGTCTTTTCTTGTTTTTTTGCAAGATATAAACACAAAATTCAGACTATTTTTTGTAATTCCAAGTTTACATTTAGCAATTATTTTTTTCCCTTCATCTCACAATTCTGACTTTTTTTTCTTGGAATTCAGTTCACATCTCACAATTCTTATTTTTTTATGTCACAGTTCCTATTTTTATCTTTTGAATTTTGAGTTTACATTTTGCAATTCTGACTTTTTTCCTCAGAATTCGGAGTTTAAATTTTGCAATTCCTATTTTTTTACTCTAGAATTCAGAGTTAACATCTCACGATTCTGACTTTTTATCCCCCTCGGAATTTTCCCCACCATGGAATCAAATGAAAAAAAAGGTAATTGTGACTTTTATCTCACAATTCAGACTTTTCTTTCTCGCAAATGTGTTTATATCCCACAATTTACACCTTTCTTCTTAGAAGTGCAAGTTTACATCTTAAAATTCTACAATTAGGCGAGTTTTCATCTTACAATGATATTTATTTTTTTCTAAAACGGCAAGAAAAAATAAAGACAATTCTGTGGTGGAAACTGGCTTCCATACTAAAGCACAAGTCTCTTATATTGCAAATACAAATGTTTGTAGTTTGGGAATCTGTTCCTCGGGTCAAAGCAGCACTAATGCATCACTTGCACACAGTCTCTTTAATAAAAAATGCAGTTGATCTATTTATCATGTTCTGTTCAGCATATTTACAGTCAAGTAACACATTTTTACACATGTACTCTAGAATTCAGAGTTAACATCTCACGATTCTGACTTTTTATCCCCCTCAGAATTTTCCCCACCATGGACTCAAATAAAAAAAAAGGTAATTGTGACTTTTATCTCACAATTCAGACTTTTCTTTCTCGCAAATGTGTTTATATCCCACAATTTACACCTTTCTTCTTAGAAGTGCAAGTTTACATCTTAAAATTCTACAATTAGGCGAGTTTTCATCTTACAATGATATTTATTTTTTTCTAAAACGGCAAGAAAAAATAAAGACAATTCTGTGGTGGAAACTGGCTTCCATACTAAAGCACAAGTCTCTTATATTGCAAATACAAATGTTTGTAGTTTGGGAATCTGTTCCTCGGGTCAAAGCAGCACTAATGCATCAGTTGCACACAGTCTCTTTAATAAAAAATGCAGTTGATCTATTTATCATGTTCTGTTCAGCATATTTACAGTCAAGTAACACATTTTTACACATGCAGCATGAGATTTAAACAGTTTATAATAAATAACATTCATCCTATAGAGATGAAACGCTCAGATATTATTTACAATAGCGAAATGTCAGCATGCTGGTGTTCTCAAAACACTGAACAATCAGATCAAACCCCTCCGGATTCCTTACAAATCAGAGATTCCCATCACTCCGGCTGTGTTCAGAGCAGCATACTAGCATACTAGTTTTGCACTAGACACAGTGCAACCTTCTGCATTTCCCAAAATGAGCAGCATAACATTGTGTGGAACGCTGCATCCCACAATGCAATGCCTTCAACTTGACCTTTCATCTCCAGTGTGATTTTTAATAGCATCTTGAATCATTATTTGATCAGACAGCCAAATGTTAAGACATTTTAAACAAAAAATGGATTGAAACTGTAAAACAATCAACAAGTGACAAACGTAGCCTACTGCTGCTAGAAGTATTCAGTATGCTAGTATTCCACTCTGTACAGAACCGCTGTGATTCACAGCAAACCGCAAACCTGTGCCCTACAGTAAAAATCCCATTCATTTTCTCCATAGGGAACTGATTTTTAATGATACTTATAAACCATTAACAACAGACCTACTAGAAACTAAAAGGTTGTTAATTAATGTAATATGCTTTTGTTGAAGTATTATTCCAGCGTATTTTTGAAATGATCATGTTTAACAGTGGAATTCCTGGTGAAAAACTACATTACCCATGATTCAGCAGAGAATGGCATCAAGCTAATTTGCAATAAAAGAACACTTTCATATCCATATATTAAAAATATATTTCATATTTATATAAGTTTTATTAAACTAACATTTTGGCACACCTGCCAATGGACAGTGACATGAAATTTTTTATCGGCCATAAATATTTTTTCTTGACCTTTCATCTCCAGTGTGATTTTTAATAGCATCTTGAATCATTATTTGATCAGACAGCCAAATGTTAAGACATTTTAAACAAAAAATGGATTGAAACTGTAAAACAATCAACAAGTGACAAACGTAGCCTACTGCTGCTAGAAGTATTCAGTATGCTAGTATTCCACTCTGTACAGAACCGCTGTGATTCACAGCAAACCGCAAACCTGTGCCCTACAGTAAAAATCCCATTCATTTTCTCCATAGGGAACTGATTTTTAATGATAACTTATAAACCATTAACAACAGACCTACTAAAAGGTTGTTAATTAATGGAATATGCTTTTGTTGAAGTATTATTCCAGCGTATTTTTGAAATGATCATGTTTAACAGTGGAATTCCTGGTGAAAAACTACATTACCCATGATTCAGCAGAGAATGGCATCAAGCTAATTTGCAATAAAAGAACACTTTCATATCCATATATTAAAAATATATTTCATATTTATATAAGTTTTATTAAACTAACATTTTGGCACACCTGCCAATGGACAGTGACATGAAATTTTTTATCGGCCATAAATATTTTTTACTGGCCATGAAACTGTAAAAAACAGTCTAATTGGGGAAACACATCTAATTGCAATTTTTATTATTGTTGTTCATATTTTTTTTATGTATTATGTAATAATTAAACAAATCAATAAAGAAATATCACTATAATACCACTGAACTGTAAAATAATAATTGTAGTTAATAATAATAATAATAATAAAAAAAAGCTTTAATGTTTTAGAACCATCGAGCTTTTGTTTTGGTGGAAGCCCACAGATTTGTGACATTTTATATAAAATATACATAGTTTTATAATTACAACGCAGTCTTTGTGATTTGTTAACTGCGCAAAACTATATCGCATTCTCAGGCATTGATTGAATTAACAAAACAATTTTTACAAAAGATTTTCAATGTTATTTTTTTTGTCCTTCAAAAACGTTTTAAAATCCCTTTGGGAAATAATGAATGGGAAAAATACTTCTGGAACCAATGCTGCTGAAAAAGTGGGCGGGAACTGTTCCACTCCATTATGATCTCACTAAGTGGGCGGGGCTTCACAAGGCCTGCCGTTTCATTGGTTCTCGTCTCATTGCGTGTCACTTCTAAAACTGCCCATCCTTCATCCATAGGCACATCTTGTTTGCTGATTAACTTGAGACAAAGTTGACCAAGTCGGATAACCAGCATCACATCTCATAAATCTCTTTCTTGGCATTTAAACGCGTGCGCACACACGCACACACACACACACATGCACACGCACACGCACACAAGCTCATGAATGCAAAAACCCCTTAGTTTCGTTGAATTCTGATGCATTCTTGGTCCATGAAAGTTAATGTACTCGTATATCAGCAAACTTCTAAATGCCCAGGGCTGAATAAATATGTTTATGCATCCAGCGCGTGTGGCATTCAATCGGTTTGTGTTTATGTGGATGTGTGTGTGTGTATATATATATATATATATATATACATATATATCTGAAATGTGTATGTGGCAGGATTATATTGCCTGCAGCAACAGTCCACATGTGTGTGTATTCCCTCCAGTTGCTCCTGTAACCACGTTCAACACCTGTATCTGTGTGCGCCGCACAGAACGTCGATTCTCCGTCACACACACGCGTTTACACAGCTACCTCCTTTTCCTCAGACTGCTCTCCAAGCGGCCGAGCTCCTCGTATCCCTGGTAGAAGAGCTCGAGCTCGCGGCCTCCCCAGCTCCTCCAGACAGCCAGGCACCAGGCCATGTTTTCGTTACGGAAGCCGCACACAACGGTGTCCTTTGCGACGAGCGCCGCCTCCGCCAGAGTCCTGAGAGACGGACGAGAGAAAGAGTGAGCGAGAGCTTTCGCTGAAAATAACCCGAGCGGCGGACTCTTCACACAACTATCACAGAGGAGCAGTTACAGGCCTGAAAGCCTCGACTGTGTGATGAATGTGTGTTTGCGCTGAGAGCTGACGGCAGTCCGACAGGGACAGAGACTAGTTTATGATAAACACTTCATAGCAATGCTTTAACTTCAACTAAAGCTCCTTCTGAAAACCTACAAACACATTCTAATAAAGTGAGTGAAGTGACATGTGGGGCCAAGTATGGTGACCCATACTTGGAATTAGTGCTCTGCATTTAATAATTCCTAAGTGCACACACACAGCAGTGAACACACACACACCGTGAACACACACCCGGAGCAGTGGGCAGCCATTTTTTTGCTGCGGCGCCCGGGGAGCAGTTGGGGGTTCGGTGCCTTGCTCAAGGGCTCCTCAGTCGTGGTATTGAAGGTGGGAGAGAGCGCTGTACATTCACTCCCCCCACCTACAATCCCTGCCGGTACGAGACTCGAACCCCACAACCTTTGGGTTACGAGTTCGACTCTCTAACCATTAGGCCACGACTTCCCATAAAGCTGGTAGCTATTCACATTTTCTTCAAAAAAGTTGTGATTATTAATACTAATTGAATGATTTATTTGTATCATCCTGGCTGCTTCTCGATACTGTAATTGATGACTTGTTTTGTCGCTGGTCCGTCCTTCAGCTTGTGACCTGGAAAGTGATCAAACGCCGCCATGATGAAGGACGCATCAATTCTCTAATCGAACTGTGACAAGGTGAGGAACAAGGAGAAAGGAGGCTTCCAGAGGAGATGCGCAGGTGCAGATCTGTATTATAAATCTATATCTGACACACGAATACATGCTCCTGTCTCTTCACGTCTGTCACAATAGTTTTAAGTCATGTTTCACCTGTAGGTTGAAATAAAACATATTTAAAAAATAATAAAAGAAAGGAGTTTCATGTATTGCAGGTCAAATTTTTGTTCAATAGAATTTAAAATAAAGAAAAATGTTAAAATAAAAAAAAATCATAAATTATTTATTAAAAAAAATAAACAACTGAAATATAAATAAAATAAATATATAATAATAATAATAGTATAATATTTATATAAATATAAATAAATAAGCTAATAAGCTAGTTTAAAAGTATTGTAAAAATAAATATTATATTTAACAAACAAACAAATAAATAAATGATTATGTGTAGCTGGAAAGTTCTGTTCTATACAATAACAAAATATTTAAATTAATAAATAAATCATATATTTAAAAAAATAATACATAAAAATTACATATGTGACTCTGGACCACAAAACCAGTCTTAAGTGTCAGTTTTTCAAAATTGAGATGTATATATCATCTGAAAGCTGAATAAATAAGCTTTCCATTGATGTATGGTTTGTTATGATAAGACAATATTTGGTCGAGATACAACTATTTGAAAATCTAGAATCTGAGGGTGCAAAAAAATCTCAATATTGAGAAAATCATCTTTAAAGTTGTCCAAATGAAGTTCTTAGCAATGCATATTACTAATCAAAAATTAAGTTTTAATATATTTACAGTATGAAATTTACAAAATATCTTCATGGAACATGATCTTTACTTAATATCCTAATGATTTTTGACACAAAAGAAAAATCAATCATTTTGACCCATACAATGTATTTTTGGCTATTGCTACAAATATCCCCCAGCGACTTAAGACTGCTTTTGTGCTCCAGGGTCACATATGAGAAATCTGTGTGTCCTGAGGAATCAGTGCAATTATGAGACGTGTGTCTGCTGTGACACAGATGTGTGTGTGTGCATCAAATATAACAGGTTTATGAAGAACTGAACTACAACTGCTAATTTTAGCCATCTCTCTTTTCAAACTAACGATTTCAGCTTTTGGATGAACCCATTCATCTGCCGTATTTTGGTGCAAATGCATGCAGCTTTAAATATTTTAAAATTAAGATATGATTGTCTTTCATCTAGCAGAAAGCGTGCTTTGAGAGTTTCTCTCTCAAAAATCAATGCAGAAGTCGTCTGCAGAATCTGTCTGGGCTTGTTTAGGGCATCACTGATTTTGGTTTGCTTGCTACAGGCGATCGGTGTCACGAACAGTGTGGAATGGTGTATGTGGACACTGTGTGGTTATTAATGTGTGACTGGCCGCTGACACACGCACCCGTACTCGGACACTCCAGGCGCCGTCAACACGGCGATCACACGAGCCCTGAGCGCACCCGCCTGCTCCTGCACCTCGATCACCATGATGTCTCCTCCACGCCTGCGGAAACACACACAGAAAACACAGTCATTTTACAACTCACAATCACACACATTCACAGCAGAATTAACACACACAAATATTTAAAAATAAATAAAACACTAATATATAGCTAGTTTAAATGTAAAGGTTAAAAAGTAAACTAAAATGTGTATTTAAAAATAGATAAACATATTGTATATAGCTAGTCATCTTTTTGTTCAAAACAACATAAAAAGTAATATTAATAATTTAAAAATATTATAAATATTAATATTAAGCTAGTCAAGTTTTTGTCAATATATTATTAGAAATGAAAATGAATCATATTTAAAAATAGACTAAACATATTATATATAGCTAGTCATCTTTTTGTTCAAAACAACATAAAAAGTAATATTAATAATTTAAAAATATTATAAATATTAAGCTAGTCAAGTTTTTGTCAATATATTATTAGAAATTAAAATGAATCATATTTAAAAATAGACTAAACATATTGTATATAGCTAGTCAGTTTTTGTCAACACAATATAAAAAGTAATGTTAATAATTTAAATAAACAACACATTTATTTAAAAATAAAAATTATGATTTTATATCTAGCTAGCTTAAAATTAATGTTATTAATTAAAATCAAATAAACCTTATAATTAAAAAGAAATAAATAATTTAATAGAAGGCAAATTTTTGTTGACAATGTAATATTAAAAGTGAAACATAATTAAAAATAGATTAAAATATTATAACTAGTCATTTTATTTGTTCAACACAATATATATATAAAAAAAATATCAACAATTAAAATAAAATATATTTAAAAATAAATAAAATGACTTTATATTTACCTAGTTTGAAAATAATGTTACAAATTAAAATAAATAAACTTTATATTAAAATTTAAAAATAAATAAAAATGTATAAAGCTATTACATTTTTTGTTGACAATATAAAAATAATATATTTATAAAAAATATATAAAATAATATATATAAAATTAATATGATAAATAAATAAACCATATATTTAAAAACAGGTTATCCAATTTTTTGTTCAGCACAATATAAAAATAATGTTAACAATTCAACTATTTATTTAAAAACAAATAAAATAACAATTAAAATAAATAAATAAATAAATAAAACCGATCATATATATAGCTATTATAAAAGTAATGTTAAACATTAAAATAAATAAACCTTATATTTAAAAATAAATAATAAACAAAAGTGTATATAAAGCTAGTCAAATTTGTCGACAATATAACATTACAAATGAAAATAAACTGTATTTGATATAAATAATTCTATGTGTAGCAAGTCAAGAAGTGATATTAACTAAACGATAATAAACTGTATATTTCACAGACTAACAGTGCATGCTGCTTTATCAAGATTTACTGAGAATGTTTCAATTAAACAAAATCCATTCACAGAAGTGCAGATTCCTGACGATGCTCTGAATTTTCCATTCAACAGATATATTTCTCTGCATCTATTCCTTCGTCCTGGAGGAGTTACAGGATGCAGAAGACAAAACAAAAAACAACAACACCACTAATAAGGAGCTCCCAAGTGACTAATATATGTTTAAAGCCACTAAAAGTTCATTTTCAGGAACAAAAACGTCTTTATTAGGGCTCCCAGATGTGTAATTATAATAATAAACGCTGAACAATACCGTCTGCCGATTTATTATTTCATTGTTTGGATGAATGAACACATTTCACACTGATAAACAATAGTGAACTCTCGCGCTCATGAAAGAGTCTAACCTAGTTTAGAAGTAGCAGGAAGCTCCTTTTATAAATCATGTCTTTATCGGGCGCCTCGGTTTCCCTTGAGCTCAAGACGAGGCACCTGTGTGACCTGATTGCTCTGCGGTGTCTGGGTTACGGAGAATGAAGTCCAACGCCTCCCTGAGACTCACATTATAATGCATTTATATTCATGAATAAAACATGGCCATTTTCATGCGCACTCCTGAAATAACACTTCATTCTTGCCCTTGATCCTCGCTTTAACCAAATGCTTAATTGATGCAGGACACGTCCCTTTGTCGCTCCTGGAACAACATTTATCATAGTCTGAATTAATGACAGATCTAATTCTACACAAACAACTCCAATCACGCAGTTTTAGGCCCGAGCTAAGTTCAGAACAGCCTGTGTCAGCTGAGAAACTGCTATTGAGAAGAAAGGGACTCTTAACACAAGCACTGCTCCAAAATCAGCGAACACTGATGCATGAAGTTAATGCCCAACCTCTGAAAATCAGGTTAGGCAAGGCAAGGCAAGGCAAGGCAAGTTTATTTATATAGCACATTTCATACACAATGGTAATTCAAAGTGCTTTGCACACATATGTGGGAAATATGTGGGAAGTGTGTCAAGATAGCAGGTTGACGATTTAAGGTGCAGTACTATTTCTTCCAAAATGTTGCTATCAATTTCTTCAAAAGCAGACATAGTATCTTCTTTTTGATATTGCGGTCGAATCTGTCTGACCTCTGCATGACTTGGGGATGTGCTAATCGCCTTCCTGATAATATTGATCTTCTCAGAAAAGAAGGAAGCAAACTCATTGCATTTGCTGTCGGAGAGCATTTCACTGGCAATCTGATTTGGGGGGGTTTGTTAGTCTCTCAACAGTAGAAAAAAGAGTGTGAGTGTTGCTTAAGTTACTGTTTATAAGGTTTGAGAAGAAACTCTGTCTAGCTGTGGCTAGTTCCACATTGAAAGCATTAAGGCTGTCTTTATAGATACTATAGTGAATTTCAAGTTAGTTTAGGTTGTAATTAAGATGTTTTTAATCTGTCTACAATGCCTCTTATACATTGAAGTTTTAAAGTTTTAAAGAAACGGCTATGCAAACAAGAAAAGTTTACGAGGTCTAAAATATAAGCTGTATCTGTCTTTTATAAATCTGATAAAACTAAAGTCTCTTCGGAGATATGAAGGATGCAATGCTACTCTATAGGTACTCAAGATTAACATTAGATTGGCAGAAACTGTGTGTTATGTCAAGAAATATACTTTCATTAAAGATCCATTAAATTGATCAGAAAGACAGTGCCATAATATACAATTATGGAAAAATGCCAAAATATCAGGGAAAATATCAGTAAAATCTATTATCGGCCGATCTCTAAATAACATTTCGAAAACTTAAAAAAAAATAAAATAAATTGTATCAACCCCAAACTTTTGAATGATCGAACATTTACTGGAAAAGAAATATTTTATAACATCAGTAATGTCTTTTCTGTCACTTTTGATCAATTTAATGCATCCTTTATGAATAAAAATGCCAATCTTTAAAAAAAAACAAAAAAAAAACATGATTTTGAAAATAAGCACATGTACACACTAATTATAATGTGTGCATTTTCAAGAGTTCGGCTTCATGGCATCAAAAAAGCACCAAAATAACATACAGGTATACTATCGTATGCATATGCATATACTTTATAGCTGTAAGATTTCGTTTGTGGATGTATATGCATGGGTCAAAGATGTTAAGATGTCCGCATCAAAAGAAATTTACAAAAGGGATTTTATGTCCATAGAAAGCACATTAAATGTAAGTAAAGTGTCTAATTTTAAGGTTTCAAATAAGTTTTTGGAGACTAAAATGCCAAAATTTGGTTGAAATAATGTTACATTGTCATTCAGTGTAACACAATAGTTATGTAAAAATTCAAACAACATGCTTATTCTGACATGTACATATTAAAATATATAAAAGAATAAGGAAGCATATTAAATTTGATTGTGTTTTAAATGAGTAAAAATTCTTACTGACAAATGGGCAAAACCTAGGATAGTGGCAAATTTAAAAATTGTAAAATAACAACTAATTAGTGTTTGGGGTGAAAGTAATTAGTCTTTTAATGTCATAAATAGATTTTTGTTGTAAATATGCCTGACAAGATTGTTACACTGAATCACATTTTAGTGGGTCTCTTCTGTAAATCGGGGGAAAATGTATATTTATTTTTTGCTCAGAAAAACAAAAACAAAATTGCAATTAAATTAAACAGAAAATGTTTAAATTTTTTGGAGAAAAACAACAACAATTTAAAGCAGTATTACACTGTTTTTATGCTTAAACCCTTTTCCGTCTTTGACCCGCATACATTTGATAAATGGTCGAAATGTCTAAAATTGAATGCTCCAACATATATTCTATACTCGAGACATTAGGCTAGACATTCTTTGTTTTACAATATGTATTGACTTTTTTTCTATTAAATTTTTTATGTTTTATTTAGTTTGTGTTATTACACTTTAATTAATAAAAAATATATATATATATATTTTTTTTCACGATTCTCCTGTATCTGTATCCTGTTATTATTGTAAAGTTCAATAAACAGATAAAAAAACAAAAACAAAGTTTAAGTATTTTTAAATGTAATAATCATGTTTTTTTTAAATTATAATACTGAGAGGTATGATGTGAGTGCGAGTCGTACCTGGGCACCCAGATGGTGCTGTTGACAGCAATGATGTTCAAGGCCTTCAGCTGCACTGGTGTGTGGCTTTGAGCCGCTAGTTCTGGATCTGTTGCGCTCCTGGATGGACATGATCCAGGTGAAACCGGCTCGTCCGGCGGTCTGTCCGTCTCCTCGAAGTCTGCGGATAAAGGCATGCTGCTGGAGCTGGTCAGAGAGCTGAGGGCTCCCGAGCTGGAGCGCTCGATGTGAGGGAAATGGCCAATCTGATCCAGCTGCTCCGAGCTGAAGCCGGAGGACGTCATGGAGCAGTAATCCAGCGAGTCCTGCTGGCACAAGATCTGTGTTCCTGCGTCCTCGCGGTGTGTGACCGTCACCTTCACCGGCTCCAGGGCGGCCGGAAGAGACTCTTCATCTATATCAGGATCAGGGGTCACAGGGGTCATAACCCCGGCCGGCCTTTGCACGGGGAAAACGTCCCGCAGCGGGTTGGCGTCGCTGCAGTTGTATGTAGCGCAGATCTGGTAGCTGGCGGCGTGATACATCAGAAGTGTGTTGGTGTGATCGTCCAGGCACCAGACGGCCTCGTCGCCCCAGCAGCTGGCAGACGAGACCATGGACAGCACGCAGGATGGCGGGAGATACGGCTCGAGGCGGCGGATGGGCTGAAGCGCCAGGCTGTCGATGACCAGCACGCCGGGGCCATTAGTGTACCACACCTCTGATCCGGAGCGCACCGGCACGATGTTGCGCACAGCGTACGGACGCTGCCGAGGGTCCGAGTCCTCCATGTTCAGAAGATGCTTGTTGATCGTGTGCGAGCAGATGTAAGACTCCCCTTCGACAGGAATGTCGTCTACCAGAGAATAAACCACCACGAGACCGTCAGACATGCCAGCGAACACCTGCGCGAGAGACTGAAACACAAGGGACATAACGTCAATAAATGTTTTATATTATTGTATATTATTGTTACGTATCCGGTCCATGAACTTCCGTCTGCTAGCCAGCAGAGGTCACCCTTTCCATTTTCATTGACTCTCGCACTACACACTGTTGCATATCATCCCGGACTACATATTCCATCATTCATTGCACTGATTGCACACAGCACTGATTGCACACATCACTGATTGCACACAGCCATTTCATATCACTCACTCACTATTTAACACTCACTCCGATCCCTTCCCGCCGTCGAGTATTGTTTAGCGCTTATCATTTGATAGCTACACTACAGAGCCCTCGTTAGTTTACCCTGACTAGTCTTGTCTTGTCTGTTTTCTCGGTTTCTGATCCTTGCCTGGTTTGCTGGATATATCCCTTTAGTCTCGCCCTTTTTTGATTCTGTTCGCCGTTCGTTGACCTTCGCTAGCCCTAGGATTATTCTTGTGTCTTGTCCACCATATTCCTGTTTGCCATTGTCTGACCCATGCCTGTTTCTGGCCACGCCTGTGAATAAAGCTTGCACATGGATCCGCACGTCTCATGTCTCGTCAGCCACGTTACAATTATATTATGTTAAATGTTTTTCCTTAATACAATAATACTTATATTAATATAATTATTTATTAATATAACACATTTTTATAAATATTTGTATAATATTTAATATTTACTCACATTAATATAATTATTAATATTTGTATAAATATATATTATTATAACATAAAAAGTGTATTATGTAATATATTAAATTATGGAATTTTACTTATTGACTTACATTAATATAGTTATTTATTAATATAATAATGTAAAAATATTACATTACTAAATAACCATATTAATAGTTATATTATATCATGTTACACTAATATATATTTATGTACATAATACATTATATACTACTATATTATGAATTTTTACGTAATACAATATCTGCTTATGTTAATATAATTATTTATTAATATATTACTTTAACATGCTTACTCGATAGAATATTAAATTTAATGTTATTTGTAAATAACATTTGTAAATCTATATATTATATCAAGATAAGATTATAATACAATACAATAATATATAATAATACATTTTTAAGTAATACTATATTAATTTTTACTTAATATAATGATAGTTGCTTCCATTAATATAATTATTAATAAAATAGCTTTCAATAAAATAAAATAGAATAGAATGTGTAAGTTTGTATGGTCCTCACCACTAGCAGCACCAAAACAAAATATGACCAGAATAATGACCATTTTCAACTAGATTTCTAAAACGTTCCCCAGTCAGCAAAAACTCTTACTTTTCCATCATGTCGAGCTTACAAGAAATAAGTTGTCAGAAAATGCATATAATGCATAAGGCATAAATCTGGAAATTCCATCTGCTATGAACTCGAAATGCTGCATATTTCAACACAAGATTTCTGAGAGCTTCAGCTCCATTCTGACAAACAATGTACATGTGGATGAACTCTAGTTGAAATGGTTGATTCACATCATCTCAATTTTTTTTGTCCCATACATTTTTTTGGTTTGGCCTTTTGGGCAGAATTTCCCCTCTGCACTGGAGCACAAACAGAAGACAGACATTATTTCTGCAATTCATCTGTTGCCACTAGTCGTATAGAAATCACACATTTCTTCTGTAACTTTGTTTAATAATTTAAGCAGATTATCAATTCTGTTGTGAATTGTCCTGATGTATTTAAGTTCTAAATGGCCTGGCTGTCTGAGGATCTTCACAAATGCACATCGTCATAATAAAACCAAACAACATCCTGTCAAACCATGCACAACATTTATTCTCTGAATATTTTAGTCCGCCTTCACATGCATTTTTGAACAAGTGCCATATCTAAAAGCATTTCCTCCCTAAAACCGTCCTGACAGCCCCAAACCAGCTGCGTGCTCCTTCCCTGATCTCCACAACTGCTTTTGACATGCAGTTTGTCAGTGACCCGCAGCGAATGGACGGCGGGAACAGAGGGCACTTCAAAGGGAGCGAGACTCATTTAAGAGTGTGTTTGGAGAAGCGCGGAGGACTGAATCTGTCATTGGGACGTTCGCTGAAGAGAGGAAGAGCAGGCACACCTGGATCACAGCGACTGGAGAGCGGGATGAGAAAAGCCTGCTCACTTACCTAAAATGTCAATCCTGCTGTTCTTACCTGGCCAACAATTTAGTCTGATTTGCTGGCTTTAGAGGGTTTTTTTTGGCACTTGTTAACTGTTTTTAATACTTAGGGGAATAGTTAAACAATCAAAAATGAAATTTTGCTGAAATTTTACACACCCTCAGGCTGCCCAAAATGTAGATGAGTTTGTTTCTTTATCAGATTTGGAGAAATGTAGCATTGCATCACTTGCTCACCAATGGATGCTCTGCAGTGAATGGGTGCCGTCAGAATGAGAGTCCAAACAGCTGATAAAAACATCACAGTAATCCACACCACTCCAGTCCATCAGTTAATGTCTTGTGAAGTGAAAAGCTGCATGCTTGCAAGAAACAAATCCATCATTAAGATGTTTTTAACTTTAAACCATTGCTAATCTATTCATAAAATTGTTTTCTCCAGTGAAAAGTCGTTTCGTCTGAATCAGGAGAGAAATATGCAAAGATCAAACACCGTTTACAAGCAGAAACAGTCCAATACAGCTCTAAACAAAACTGTGGGTGGATTGTGATGTGAGAGACAACAGGGGATGGACTTTTAATTGGAGGAAGCATTATTATGGATTAGGGCTCATATTTTGACCAGAAACAACAGTTTAAAGTTAAAACACTAATGATGGATTTATTTCTTAAAAACATGCAGAATTTCACTTCATAAAACATTAACTGATGGACTGGAGTGGTGTGGATTACTTGTGGATTCTTGTGATGTTTTTATCAGCTGTTTGGACTCTCATTCTGACGGCACCCATTCACTGCAGAGCATCCATTGGTGAGCAAGTGATGGAATGCTACATTTCTCCAAATCTGTTCCCATGAAGAAACAAACTACATCTTGGATGGCTTGAGGGTGAGCACACTTTTAGTAAATTTTCATTTTTGGATGAACTATTCCTTTCATTTGAGGAGATCCCTTTGATATCTTTTTTTTTTACTTTGTATATCTAAACCAAGAAATAAAAAAACATACAAGAACATGATCAGCATAAGCATAGTTTACATGACAATGACTGCACGCCGGGGCACTGACCTCTTTCCTGGCGGGCAGTAAAAAGAGACAGGTTACCACAGCCGGACAGGAGAGCAGTTTCTGCGGGTGACTCAAGGGACACATCTCTTTCAGGCTGTAGATAAAGACTTCCTGTTCCTGCAGAAACAGCAACAAGGTATCAAGATAAACATCTCCATTCATTTGCTGCTCTCTTACAAACAGGGTTGGGAATCGAGACATGCCTCTTATTCAGAACCATTTTTGGGACTTCTTACTGGGATCAAATGAATTTCAGGATGTTCGGCTCCAACAGACGTTCACTGAATAAAGCATTTGCACACGCTGTCATTGTGTTGCATTAAAATGCATGTGTCTTTTCTTGGTATATGCGCTACTTCAGATGGTTTGTAAGTAAAGATGGTGATTGCAATATAATTCTTACACTTTTATGCTTGAAACAAAACAAAACTATATAAAACAGACTAAAAATGACAAAATGTGTAGCCTTTACACCATTTTAAAGGTGATTTGCACTAATTTTTGATGTTGAAATACTTAAACAGTTATGCTGTGCTCTATGTTTCAAATACAGTATTATTCTAAGTTTGGGATTTTTTTATGCTTTTGAATGAAGTCTCTTCTGCTCATCAAGGCTGCATTTATTTGATCAAAAATACAGGAAAAAACAGTATTATTGTGAAATAGTTTTACAATTTAAAAATAACTTTTATTTTTTTGATATATTGTAAAATGTAATTTATTCCTGTGATGTAAAGCTGAATTTTCGACATCATTACTCCAGTATAAAGTGTCACATGATCCTTCAGAAATCATTCTAATATGCTCATTTATGGCTCCAGGAACATTTATTATTAATGTTGAAAACGCTTCTTCATATATATATATTTTTTTTTTTTGAAAACTGATACAATATTTTTTTCCAGGATTTTTAGATTAATAGAAAGAACGTAATTTATTTGAAATAGAAATCTTCAGATACATTTTAAACATCTTTACGGTCACTTTTGATCAATTTAATGGATTCTTGCTGAATAAAACTATGATTTTTTTTTATAAAAAAAAAAAAAACTAAACTTTTGAACAGTAGTGAGTAAACACATCTCTTAAAATGATTAAAATCTTAACCTAGAGGCATCAGAATCGGGACAGTCTCAACTAATAGTGTGAGTTTGGGGCAGAAACATCAGTTTGTTCAGGAAACCTGTCTGAAAATGGTCATTATTTCCGCTGTTCTGCTAATGGTGGATAAATTACACACAAGACTTGAGCAACAAACATTTGGTTTGACATAAGTTACAACAATCTCCTTTACTGTGAGAACCAAACGCCCTCGGCATCTATTCATTAGTGCTGTTTCCTTGGTAACGATCCTGCGCTGTTGAAACGAATGCCACGACTGACAGCTGAACGAACCTCAGTGGCCGTCCACAGGCTGTTCTCCATCTTCATTTGGCAGCTCAGACGTGTTCCCGGACATGGCATCCTCTTCACCTCCACCTGCCCCTTGGCCAAGTTTACCACCGTGTAATTCCTGTAAGACACACACACACACAGAGAAACATAAATGTGTCTTGGGACACAGCAGTTATGAAATCCACATTTTGAAGCTAAAATTACAAACCAAATAAAGACTAAAACTAAAATAAACAATACCTAAATAGTAACAAAAAAATAAAATAAAAAATTGTGAAGCAAATGTGAGGGATGGAGGGAGGGATGGATGGAGGGAGGGAGGGATAAAATAAAGGCTCATTACTGTTATATGAATAGGATAATTACTGTTAACTAAACTAAAATAAATGGATGGATGGGATAGGTGGATGGATGGATGGATGGATGGATAGGTGGGTGGATGGATGGGTGGATGGATGGATGGATGGATGGATGGGTGGGTGGATGGATGGATGGATGATGGATGGATGGGTGGGTGGGTGTATGGATGGATGGATTGATGGACTGACGGATGGATGGGTGGGTGGGTGTATTGGATGAATGGATGAACAGATGGATGGATGGACAGACAGGTTGGTGGATAGATGGATGGACGGACGGATTGGTAGATGGATGGTCGGATGAATTGGTAGATGAATGGATGGATGGATGGATGGATGAATGGACGGATGACCCGTCACAAACGCACCCTGTAATTCAACTACGGACGCTTCAGATCCAAATACCCTAGTAAGTTGTTTATTATGTTTCCGTTTTTTTCTCGTTTTGCTTGTGAAGCCGCAATAATCTAATTGGCAACGTCAAACTTGGACAAATAAAGGCTGCGGTGATAAAGCGATTCGGGCCGACCTCACGCTAATGTACTTAAAATACCATTTACAGGATATTGCTGGTAGGCCATCTGATGATCAAGAGGGTCATTAGATCATAAAAACCCACATGGAGCTT